AGGGAAAGATTCTACTTGAAAACAATTTTAATGATGTATCATGATGTGAGTAATTTGAGTTCTCTAGCAATCATTTATTAGAATGTATGACATTCTGCTTGGGTAGGATCGGGGATACAAAGAGGTTTAATTTCTGTAAACTTTTAGTCAGTGCCTACTGCAGGAGAGACATAGTACTAGGCCCTGCACTTCCCATGGCCCCAGCTCTCAAGAAGCACATGTTACAGGCAACCATCATACAAAAAGGTACATGCTACGATTAAGGGATACATAGGGTAGTATGGGGGCACATGGAAGGTGCTTAACCTCAAAGGGCTTGCACTGTAACTTGTGAGGCCGCACAGACATGAAAAATATGAAGTAATAAGATACTATAGGCTAAGGGCCATATAAGTGGTACAAGGAGTGTGAGAAAAGTTCAGTGGAGAGTGCTCTGTGAGAGATGGAAGGGAGAAGTATTATCAGCTCCTTGGGAGGGGCAGAAGGGGAGGGAATAGGGTGAGGCGGACCCTGGATTGGCTCCCACAAGAGGTACAGGAATCAGACAGAGAAGAGATGGGAGGAAAGACAAGATATGAAATTAGGGGCCGTGTCAAGAATGTGCAGGAAGTGGCTTTGTGCAGCCAAGTTATAGCAAGCCTGAGGATGCTATTTTTAGGAAGCCCTGCTTACAGGATTGGCCCTCAGTTACGATCTGAGAACTTGGATTTTGAGTGTTTCCACCTTTCCCTAACTGATAAGGATGGTATACTATGCCTACTTTGTGCAAAAAATGAGGTTTATGCTGAGCACCTGCTTTCCTTCTAGGAGTCTAGAATTTTGGTACTTGCTAAGCAGAGAGTACCTACATGACCAGCCCCCAACAAAAACCGTGGGCCTAAGTTTCTAATGGGTTTCCCTGGGCAGAAACAGTGCACAAAGTTACCACATTTTTCACTGCTGGAGAGAAAACATGCTTGGTGTGTCCCCTCACAGGAAGGAGAGACTATAAGGAAGCTTGTGCATAAATTTCTCCAGATTTCTACTTGTTTCTTTTCCCTTGCTGATTCTATTGTGTATGCTTTCACTGTAATAAACCTTAGCCACGCCAAATGCTGAGTCCTTCGAACGCATCTCCAAATGTGGGGGGTAGTCTTGGGGCCGTGATCACCCTCAACACATGGTTGTTAAACTCTTTTGGGGTAACTGGCCCCTTGAGAATTTGATGAAATCTACAGATTAAAATGCACGCGTGCGTGCGCGCGCACACGCACGCACACACACACACACACTATTCTTATGGTGTACTACACTGAGCTGAATACACCAGTGATCAGACAGTGCATTTTAGGTTCTAACTAGGGTGGTACAGTAGGTCTGGTGACAGTAGTGAGAATAAAAGACATTCAAAAGATAGAAAGAAAAAAAAAAAAGAAATTGTGGTGTCATATGGACAAAGAAAACAGGGATGATTAAGGTTTCAGGCCCATATAATGATGGTGCTATTGAACAAAAGAGAAAAATCCGAAAAGAGGTTTGATGTGGGGGAAGATCACACACTGAATTTCAGATAACAGCAGGAAGTCTGTGGCAGCTTGGAAAAACGGTCCCGAAGTCTTTGACACTTCTCCCATCCAGAGCTATGTGGGGGACCTATATGCCCTTTTCTTGAATCTGGACGGGCCTGTGACCTGTGGCACGAGTGACACTGCATGATTTCTAAGGCTAAGTCAGAAAAGGTTTTTCAGCTTCCTCCTTGTTTGCTGAGACACCGCCTTCGCTGCCCTGAGCTGCCATATAAGAAATCCAGCTACCTTGGTGAAAAAGCCCAGGCTTTGTGGAGAGGCCACATGTAGGAACTTTGTTCAAAAGCCCCAGTTCAGAGCCAACATCAACTGCCAGATAAGACAGTGAAGGTGCCTCTAGATCAGATGTTGGTAAACTTTTCTCTAAAAGGCTAAATACTAAGTACTATAGACTTTATAGTCTTTGTTATAAACACTATTATAGGGACAGAGCAGCCATAGACAATAGATAAATGGATGTTGCTCTGTCCCATAAAATTTCATTTACAAAAATGATCAGAGGGCCCTAGTTTTCTGCCTCCTGCTCTAGATGATTCTAGCCCCAATGTCTTCTCAGCTGAGGCCCCAGACCCCAGGGAAGAGACAAACCATACCTGCAATGCCCTGTCCTAATTCCTCACTAGTGAACATAATATAAAGGTTGTTCTGAGTTAGTTCTAGAATAAAATCCACAGAGAGAGGTTTACTATGTCCAACAAGCATGTGGAATTGAAGCTTAGGAGAGAGGCAGCATGGTATAGAGAATGGATCAGCAAACTTTTCCTGTAATGGACCAGACAGTAAATATTTTTGGCTTTCTGAGTCCACAGTCTCTGCTGCAACTCAACTCAACTCTGCCACCGTTGGTAGTGTGAAAGCAGCCAAAGAACAAGTGAGCATGGCTGTATTCTAATAAAACTTCATAAAAACAGGCAGTGAGCCAAATTTCATCTGAAGAAGAAACAGCAAAATCTTCTATACAAAGGTGACTGGTAAAGCCATTAGGATAAAGTTTCTTAGAGAGCAAATCAATCACAGGATCAAACCTGGGGGTACAAAAAAAGGAGAAATGAGGAAAAAGTGCAGTCCAACAAAAAGTTCCTAAAGAGATAAAAGCAGAATGAAAAAAAAAGTTGAAAGGATGGAATTCCAAGAGGGGAATCGTCCGTAGTAGTGTCTTAGAAGGGCTTCCCTTTTTTTCTTAAATTTATTTGGCTGCACCAGGTCTTAGTTGCAGCACATGGGATCTTTAGTTGCGGCATGCGGGATCTAGTTCCCTGACCAGGGATCGAACCCAGGACCCTTGCACTGGGATCGCGGAGCCTTAACCACTGGACCACCAGGAAAGTCCCGGGCTTCCCTTTTGTTTAAAGCTAATTCCTCCACTGTGCTCTTCACAGGATCCTGTCCCACTTCTTTCAAAATCTTGCCTGTATTAGTTAATCCCCTTGCCATACAAACACACACACACACACACACACACACACACACACACACACAGAGCCATTCTTGTTATACATAGCAGGTAGGTTGTACAAAGTTGCCATGACACTGAAGTAGGGAACACTGAACTGCGGCCCTTAAGGGAAACACCGTTAGGTTGCCAGGAACCTATAGTGAGAACATCTTCATCAACTGATCGATATACAACCTTGTCTTCCGTGTGTTTTTGTTTAACATATTTATTATTATATGTTAAACTTTATTTAACATATATTGTTGGTTCATTAATGTTGAATTCATGACCAGCAGCCACAGTAACTCAAGCCTGAATGAAGCATCTCTAACACATGTATTTTCTCTGTAAGGCATATTACGCCCTTCTTGCATTTAGGAATTCTAGCCTGCACTTTACCACTATGCTTGGGGACAATTTTAAACACTAAGATCACCAACAAGAAGCACAGAAATGCAAAAAACATGGCAATAAACAGATCTCAACAAAGACACTTGTTTATAGTATAAAAAGTGAAACAAGAAAGTAGAACTTCATCTTACTTGATCTCAGTTAGGAATATGTATTTGCGTAACTTGAATATTTCACCGCTCTGTATGTCCACGAATGACTACAAAAGCATCATGAATATTATTTTGGGGGTTACAAAGTAGGCAAGTAGGCAAATTTACCAACAGAATCTACGAAGAATGAGGATCAATTGTATGTATATATACATATATACATATATGTGTTTCTTCCTCCTTAAAGACAGAAGCAGCCTTTAAAACCAATAAATGAGCTCGCAGGATAACTACGGAAAAGGTGGCCCTGGAAGAAATGGTAGGGTAGAGAATGAAGGAAGAGAAAGAATGTGTGAAAACACAGAGCTTCTGTAAATCCTCTTTCCCTCCGGAATCCAATGTGTCAAATGGGCCCTCCCAGCA